GCAATGTTCTTCCGACGTCTGATTTCTTTTTACAAAATGCGTTTCTAAAGTGCATAAACTTTTGGGATTGACTGTATTGACAATACATCCTTAAAAGCTGCCTAATTGATTATTAAGCACGTCTCATGTAACAGGAAACTTAATGTGACTATCTGATTTCTTCGTAATGCGTAAAATTCCGAGTACCTTTATTTGAACGTTGACACAAATTTTCATAGAAATGAAGGAGCGGTTTGTGTCTTTTTATATCTTTCATCAGGAGTATAAGAACAAAAGCGTGATGAATCATTAAAGCGGTCGATACCACGTGAGAATCTTATCGTGCACGTGACTCCGCCGGGTAACCGCGTGTCAATGCGAATGAGAGAAACGTGCGAAGAATTAATGGCAAGGTATAGGAGATCCGCCGTGACTTTGCCATTTTACCGTTCTGACCTATTCGTTCATTTCAAAACTTTAGTAACCTCGTAAATGAAGGCAAAAAAAGAACAGATATAGCTTTAATATCTGCGCTCGTTACTTTTTGCGTTTTAAAAAAACAAACCGTTCTCGCAATTTCCATGCTTTTAACACATGTGCATCGTTCACGGCCAGTCATATAAACAGTAATAAGATTTTCCATACAATAATTGTTGGAATGCTTGATAAAACATCGGATGCAGTTTCTCACATAGCGGTTGATACAACATGTGATACAATAATTCACATACTAATAATGGATACAACACTAGTTTTGTGCTAATGACCAGAGAAATTCAGTGCACGATGCAAATGGGGCGGTAGGATTATGGGGTAAATTATAATGAATCTCTTCTTTTATATTTTAAGAAACTCTTAAAATATAGTAAATATAGGCCGGTATTTATAGTCTTATTCTTAAGATCGTTAACATTTGCTATCTCTGTTTATCCCATATTTCCAGTCCTTGTCTTGTACAGGAAACAGGGACTTGGGCAAATGCTTAAGACGATCTTAAGAATAAGCAACGACTCTGAATATCGGCCATAGAATCATTCTTTTCAACAGGAGCAATATACATTTGTAAACAATGAACGTGGATGACTCGTGAATATGAAGAATGATTGTAGGAAAGCGACGAGGAAGGAAGAACACTGATTTCTCTACTCTGTTTAGACCGTGTATCGGTTCTGGGCAATTGCATACATATATTCGTGACGCAATGCGCTACGGGTACATGATCGCTACGTCAGAGCTAACGGGCCTTGACCGTGAACCTTCTTGATAATCGAGTCGATGACTGCTCGATAAAAAGACACGACCACGTGTTTTACGTTTTCCCTCGACATGTCCCGCTTTGGATTCTTACGTGCTGCTTCTTCCTTCCAGGAAATACGATTTCCCTCGCCTCTCTGTCAGCCTGTGCATCGATCTAGTTTCGTTTTATACAATCAATGATCCATTTATAAGAAGAATACAAATGTATTAGGAGTAAATTGATTTTGGATGTGATTTTTAATATGCAAGAACGTTAATAGTATGACGTACAAAGAGATCTCAATCTAAATTGCATTTTTTAAATCGATGTCATGGATATTTCATTTAGAATCATGAGCATATTAATTAACGAAGACTATCTTGTTTCCGACGTGTGTAGGGAACTAGTGTGGCCGAAAATCAATACTGTTACGAGCCTATGTACAATAACCTGGAATCCTTCGACATAGATTGCCTACAGAACCTAATATTCAATGGATATTTGTGTCACGTAAATGAGAACTCCTGTTTGTTTGATTTAACAACGAATTCTTTTTGTTATTTGTAGAATCATGGGTGGAGCTGAATCCTGTGCCAGACAGGATAACACCGTTACCATTCAGTAGTGGCGGAGAAGAATATCTGCGACTTCTCAGGGAAGCGCAAAGAGATTCTTTGCCCTCGTCCGCTAAACATTCTCTGGCGTCGTCGCGTCGAGGCACGCCAAGGGACAGGTAAAGTATTCTCTTAATAAAATCTTTTAAAAATTCTACGTGATGACGCATGCATAGATAGTTTATTCGTTAATCTTTGACCTTGTAAATTGGAATTATAATTACAGTCACAATATTGCAAGTCACTCGGAGTTAAAAGACCTCGTCAACTTTTCCATTCGATCGAACGATATCTAATCTAATCATCACGTAACCGAAACAAATTTTCAATACCGAAAAATGTATACGTTCGAAAACGTTATGTCACGAACCTTTTTCCCCCGAGAGATGAAAGAACGGTTCGTATTGTCGTGAGAAGAAAGAAGTCGAAAGAAGTCTGGTTTGCTTTACCTCTTGGAGAGGGGAAAAAAATTTAAGTAGCATGAGTCAGATGTCGATTCGCGGGAGCTTTTTCTGGCCGGTTCCTTTCTTCTCATAGGCGTTGAGCCTCGAGATGGATGAAAGAGGAAAGAGAAGGCAAACAACGTTACTTTTCCACCGCGTCTGTTTTCCATTCGTTTAAATGTCTTTTTTTATCCGCTTCCAGTTTCTTCTACGTTTCACGTGCATACAGAGAATTGCTTTCTAAATGATTTAGCAACATATCTCAACTGTTTGATTTCGCCGATGAAGAATGTCTCACGCGTGTTTACATTTGCTGATTTCTAACAGATCTATTTAAAATCTCTTTAATCCTTAACAACGAAGCAATTCCCTTTTCGAAATCTTTATTTTACTAAATGATTTCTGAGTAAACGATAAATGTTATTCCGCGCTTCACCATCTGCGATCGATCCACGGAGCAACGAACCTTCTACGCAATATTTATTTCGTGAGATCTGTTACTCATCTTAAAAGAGGACGAGACTATTCCTCGTCGTTCCTTAGATATCTGCGACGTTTAAATCACGGTCGCAGATGTGCTATGAGATCACGCATTATCACTGTTTGCATAATGTGAAAAAAAATGTATCGTACGATACGCGGAAATCGTGCTACAAAGTATTTTATAGTGGCACATTGACCTGCGTTGGTCCACGACGAAGATAGTCGATTTATAATTCTGCTAATCAGTTTGTTAATAGTTGAAGATATGAATAAATCGTTCAGAGAAATTGTATGATCCTCTGTTGCAGCCCGAAGAGTCCACCGAACAGCCCTAACACGGAGCTTTCAACCGAAGATGAACTGAAAGGAGTATACATAAACTACTGCTGTAACAAGGTCAGTTCCATGATCAATTTTTCCTTCGTTGTTTGACCATCCATTAGAAGATTGAGTTCGCGTATAAAAATTATAATGATAAGTATGCTATTTCCCCTAGTTATTGCTCCATTTTTGTAACTCTAGCCAAAGTTTATTGATAAGTATGCTATTGCCCCTAGTTATTGCTCCATTTTTGTAACTCTAGCCAAAGTTCGAGTAGAGATAAGTAAAGTATGCAACTGGTTGTATCGAATGAAATAGAATCGGAGTCACGCTTTCCACGCAAGGTCTCTAGATCACTGACTCCTCTAGTATATCGTGGGTCACGTAGGGATCGAGTCTATAGAACCGCATGCTTTCGTAGGCGTGGAACACATTGAAAGTTTTAAATCGTAGAGCCTGTAAACACAGTTATCGTAGAATATAACAAGTAGGTTCAGGTATTAACTGATCGATTTTTCTATGTTCCTGAAACCTTGTGCATTTGACCAACGTGGGAAATATGAAAATTGTAATTGACAAAAATTTGCACAAATTCCTGTATCAATCGAACTCCCTGAAGCGATAGTAAAATCGATAAGTCCACGTTGAAATCGTCCTGATAATGGTATCGCGTTGATTGTTTGTTCGTGGTTTACCATGTAAATTATCTGTCTCGGCTGGGAATCTTAACGAAGATAACGAGTCTTTACTTTATACGCATTTTCACAATAAACAAGTGGTTGAAAGGAAACATGTTTGTGGGTGACAGGTATAATACACTTATGCTCGTTTATCTTGTCCTCATTTACTCTTTGCAATAATCGCTCATGGGTTATCAATGAAGTAATAGCGTTGAAATTTATCGGTGGAAAAGAACGGATGTATATATAACGAAAATAGCGACAAAGACAATTGTTACTGGGTCGGGTGGGGTCCGATAACGAGCCGCAAAGATACGAGGATTTTCCATGAGTCAGTTGCTTAACTGCACGCGAGTCTTCCCTCCTTTGTGCGTTCACTTCTATTCCCTGCCAGTCTTTTTGATCCAATACAATACACAGCATGTCATAAATTAACAGATAAATAAACGGAGATATTCCATATGTAATAAAATATGTGAAACTAGTAATTGTTCTTCTATTTGCTGAGGATTCTTGTGCAATATCTAATATTGTTGCATTATTTAGAAAGTTTTTTCCAGGGGTTGTACGAAGGCAAAGACTCGAACAACGCGTCTTCTTTGAAAGTCCTCGAGCTCTCGTTTTAACCACTTAGATAACGCATTAAAAATAGAATGTGTATCTCAACAAGTTCTCTGTTTTCCTGGCTCACCAATTATTGTCTCGTATTCGCGACACACCGTTCTTCTCACCGTTTGTCTTTCTTTTCTGTATCTTTTATTCGTCGCATGTTACTTGGTTCAATCACACCACCGTGCGATAAACCAATGCGGCCTTGATATTCATGGAGAAACACAAAGCATTCTGCGTAGAATAAAACGATGTCTTATACGCTGCGTAGGTAGTTATCTAATCTAGAGACGCGTGTTAGAGACATGCATCGTAGGCGAATTATTTTTCTCTAGAACCCACGTTCTAAACATTGTCAATAGATTTCTTGATACGTCGAACACTTTCACACTTCGTTACACATTATCGTAATCCGTTTGCCGATCAAGGATATCACCTCTTGCAATTGCGTCGTGTTAAGAACCTTGACGAACTTTAGTAGTTGTGTAGCGTTATCGATCCTTGTGTGAAAGACTTGAGGAACAAAAGAAAAGGTGCTATGAATGTAAGTATCGAGTAATACCGTGTTTAAGAGTACAGTATAACACGACGTAGTGAAAGTTTCTGTACAACACTTGATGCACCTGGTGATTTTATCAGAAGCCTTCGCATATTTTTATACATAAAAACTATTGGAAATATTTTATTGTCTTTTCAGTTAGGGTTTGTACAAGTAACAGTGAAACTGACAATGAGCCAGCTATGTGGATATGTTAGTTTCCCCTAATGGATTTTATTATAATTTTGACGCGTTAAAGTAAAAAGAATTTTAATGTATGTAGTGGTAATGAGCGTAGATTATAATTGTTTTTATTTTGACGTGACAAAATTGCGTTAAAGTCCAACAGTATCGATGCCAGATCGAGCATTGGAAAAACAAGACGTAGAATTATTACACGTTTTGAATTTTGTTGCCCTAGGGAAAACTAACACAAGCCCGAACTGGCCCGGTTTCATTGTTTACTAGCTGTACAAACTACGGTTGTTTAAACATATTAGAAGTGGAAACAAAGTTTTTGGTAGATCGTTCACCTACGTCTCTGTTCCTCGTTGTTACGTTCTCCGTTACGGCGGACAGATCACGCGATTCCGAGCGAGCGAATCGGAGTCCTCTATAATCTCGTGAGAGGAAAACCGGTCCTCTCGCGGTGTTCATTGCGTTCAGAGAACGGGTTCGACTTCGCGGTAGGTTGCCTGCGAAGAAGAAGAGTTACCTGATACTTATAGTACCTAGAGCATTACGCACGCACGAGATTAAGTCAGCTGGCCGTAATGCTCATTCCAGCCGAACGCACTCGCGTTGTTCCGTGGAATGCGATAAGCATGAATACTAGCTAGGGATCACGTGTATTGTATGTCAGGAAAACACGCAGCAATTGATTACTATACATAGCATTATGTCGTGGCTACCGGTGGAACACGTTCCTTCAAATATTGTGTCGTAACATTAGACCATCACTTCGTTCTCCATTTAGTTTCTGAACGGTGCAATAATATTGACAAAAGTTATTCATTGTTTTATGTATTTTACACGCAGTAGTATTTTGGACATTGGAACTTTATACATTTCATTTGTCTGTCACTTTATTATATGTGTAACTCTATGTGTGACCTAAAACTTTTTGCAGTTCGATGTTGGGCATGAAAGTCTGAAATGAAAATTTTGCGAACGTTTATGTCCTCGTTCTAGATTGCTGGTATATTTTATTGTGAAATCATTTGTTAGAAACAGTGATACAAAATTGTGATTGGTGATAGAAAGCCTGGGATACGGGACGTGAGAAGTGCGATAAAAATTTCTTTACTCCATGTTACGTGAACGACTTACGGATGTATTGGCTATACAGTCAATCCCAAAAGTTTATGTACCTTAGAAAAACGCATTTCCTATAATTAAAAAGAAATCAGACGTCGGAAGAAGAGTGCTAATAATAAATAGCTACGTGCTAAAAAGTATAGAAGGAAATATCCAATTAAGTACTGACGCTGACGAAAATTTTTTTTTCTTCAAAATTTCGAAAAATGCTTCAAATAAAAGTTGTTTTTCTTCTAATTTCGATATTTAACGAGTTACGTATGATTATTTGGCATTTTATTGATGTTGACAAAATCCGACCATCCCAGCGTCGAAACGGCGAACTTTTGGCAAAAAATGAAATTTTTCCTTAATTACTTCTAAACCGTTGAATTTACAGGAAAATTGGATAGGACCTTTCTTGTAGAGGACGACGAGATCTACAATTTTTATATAAAAGTTTGTCGCTAGCATTAATAG